AAAGACATGTGTTTATTTATTTATTTTTTTGGTTGCTGAGTAATATCCCATTGTGTATATGTACCACATCTTTTTAATCCAGTCATCCATTTTTGGGCATTTGGGCTGTTTCCATGTCTTTCCAGTTGTAAGTAAAACAGCAGTAAACATGGGGGTGCAGGTATCTTTTTCAATCAGTGTTTTTGTGTCTTTTGGGTAGATACTTAGGAGTGGGGTTGCTGGGTCATAGGGAAGCTCCATGTTAAGCAGTTTGAGGAACCTCTAAACAGTTTTCCATAGTGGTTGTACTAGTTGCATTCCCACTGCAGTGGCCTTTTTGCAAGCAGCAGATCCACTGCTGGAAGGAGTATAAACCTCCACAACTACTTCAGAAAATGGTTTGGCATCAGGTGGGGGAGTTGCACCAGTGCAGCCGCCAGCAGCCAGCAATCCCACTCTTATATTCTGATGTTACTCAAAGTGTGGGCCACAGATCTGCACATTGGCATCACCAGAAGCTACTAGAAATACGGCACAGCAGGTTCTACCCAGAGCTATTACCTCAGAATCTGTAGTGGAACAAACCCCAGATGATTCATGTACTCAATGAACTTTGAGAAGCACTTAATCTTCCAACTCTTTTGCTCATGTTGAAAGAATTTTGAACACTATATGCCGCCTTGCACATATTTATGCTGCTAACTAATCTTCAGATGTTAAAATAATTGCCAAAAGATTAAATTTCCAAAGTGTTGCAAACATTGATTTTTTAGTGCTGCTTCACTCTTGTAACACCCTCTGACTCACTCATAATAAAATTACATGATCATGCCTGTAACTAATAAAATGTCATATGTCAGTTATACCTCAAATTTTTTTTTAAAGATTTATTTATGCATAGAACTGTGATATAGGCCAGAGGTGTGTGGTCTGGGAGGGTGTGTGAGAGGATTCACCAGAGACAGAGTGGGGAGCAGAACAGGCAGACCTACTGAAATAGTGTTGAGGGGAATAGAGGGCAAGAGAGGTCTGCTGCGCCATGTGTGGGTTAACTCCCTGGCCCAGGATCATCAGGCTAGGCCTTCTCAGTGAGAGTGCAGAGACTCCTAAGCTACCAGGAAGGCTC